GCATTTCTGCATGTTGCTGAATGGTCTCAATAATGACCAACTTAATAGCTTGGTAAATTCCACATACCTACAATCTCTAAGGCCAGCATTTTTCTGGAGGCACAGGTTTGGTAACCGGCCTGTGGCCACGACCGTGAGTGGGACAGCCAGGGTGTGAACGCAGCTCTCTGACTTCAAAGCCGGCTCTCTTTTCCCTGTTTGCTGAGCCTGCGCCTCCAAGCATAAGGCGAGCAGGTTTGGGGAACACATTCCCTGGAGCAGGAGATCTGTGCCTGGTGCCCCGTGTGCTTCACGAGCCCTGGACCCCGACACCCACACTCTCCCTTAGCCCTGACTGCTCCTGTGTGCTGGATGGAGACCTGGCCATGCCCTGGGGTTAGAGCAAGGTGTTCCCGAGAAGCCACACGTACAGATAAGGCCCCGAGTGACTAAGAGTGATGGCTCCAAGGCAAGCCTCATCACTTCTTATCCTTGTTCCTCCTAAGAACCATGCCTGTCCGCAGCTTGGTCTGGTAATTGAGGTAATGTACGAGAGGCCCAAAGTGCAGCTTCTGGCACTTAGAAAAAGCTCAGTAGGTGATAATAACTACTTACATTAGCAACAATAATATGTTGTCACAAGTGTTTAACACATCAAGCTATTGTTGTCACAACCATAACTTAACTACGTAACTATTGATGTCAGTCATCCAAAACCATGCTGTAACGGATTAGAAGATTGGAATTCTAGATGGTGTTTCATCTTGAAAGAAGTTCGTTTTTCCCTTGAGAAAGGGCTGAGGGGAGTGTGCCGAGGCATCGGCTTACTGGGAATCGCCTGATAAGGGGGAGAGTTCTTACCACTGGCGCAAACGCCCTGGGGAGTGAGCAGCGCATCACGGAGGTGCAGGACACCATTGTTTCTTGGATGGCAGGAAGATGGACGCATTTCAACATCAAGAGGAACAAGAGGATTCCCTGGAGCCACCGCACCCTCTGAGACAGAAGGACAGAGCAGTCAGCGTGCAGTGCCAACTCTAAGCAAGTAAGTCAGTAAGACATACGTACACCTGGAGGCCATGTGTGGAGGAGCCACGGGAGTTATACAGACATGAATCTCTGACGGACATTCAGTGCAGATGTCTGCAGAGCAGAATGAGTGAGAACTAGAAGTGAGTACAAATTATAGAGCATGTTCAGAAAGACCAGGTCCGAGTTCTGGCCGGGCTATCTCTATACACACCAGGAGGGAGCAGGCCTAGCTGTTCCCCCATCTTAATCTCGGTCTAGTCTGTTGTAAGAAAATCACAGACTTTCTGTGATTTTCTGGGGGGTGGGGGTGTCAAAGAAAATATTCAGTGCATGCTAATTTCCTCCCCTCCCTTCATATGTACAGAATATGTTACACTTTACCAACACTTTCCCTGTAGATTTAATTTCCTCCTTGTAAAAACCAGGAGCACTCTCAGTTTATAGCTCTGGAGTCTGGCTTAGATAAATAGGGCATCAGACGAAAGTCGTACAGCTGGAGACACAGCAGCCCCGGGGTCAAGCCCAGCTTCCTGGACTCGTCCACACCCCAAGGGGCCTCTAAGAAGGCCCCCTGTCCTACCAGGGGCTCACTGGGAAAGTACTTCTGAGTAGGGGATCTCAACTGTTTTCACCAAGATTGTAAGTTGAACAGAAAGAAATGAGAGCTGGACGGTTTAAAATCTATATGGGCAATGAATCAAGGTTTTATGTTTGTTTTGTTTCCTTGTTAATTGGGACAAAGTCAACAATGACCTCTGACAACCAAAACCCAGGCAAGCTGTGAGTGGCTGTCACACCTCGGGTTTCCCTCCGAGCAGGCAGGCAGGGCTGCACGTGCGGAGAGCAGGGTGGCCGGAGCTCTAGCCGGCACTGGCCAAGAGAAACGCAGTGCGACCCACAGGAGGAATTTCAAATTTTCTAGTAGCTACAGTTCAAAAAGTAGCAGTAAACATGGAAAATTTATTTTATAATATATTTTTATTTAAACTAGTAAATCTAGAATATCATCATTTCACTGTGTAATCAACATAAAAAGTACTGAGATAGTTTATATTCTTAATTTTGACACTAAGTTTATGAGATCCAGTGAGTATTTTACACCCAGAGCACATCTCAGTTTGGAGTAGCCGCATTCCAAGTCCTCAGTAGCCACATGTGGCTGGTGGTGACTGTATTGGACAGCACAGGTATAGACCCCCGTGGGGTGAGCGGAACGGAAGGGTCCCTCTCTTGCGTGCCTCTGACTGAGGGATGCCATAAAGGCTTCTTAGCCACTGTTGTTATTATGACTTTCATTTAGAGGACATCCATCAGGTGCCAAGCTCTGTGCTCAAGGGATATACATGTTCATGTGTGTGCAAATACATACACGTGCTCAAATCTCAACACAGCCCTCAAGGCACATATCTGGGTTCTACCTTACTAAGACTTGACGAGAGGTAAGCAACTTGCCCAATGGCACGTGGACAAAGAAGAGCTGGGAATGAGTCTCAGGTCTCATTATTCTAAAGTCTGTGCATGTCCATTTTCACACACGCAAACAGCTCTTTAATCCTGGGTGTAAACTCCATCATTAGAAAGTCATTTATTTTCGTCTTGAAGATGTCTCATTCTTTCTGCATTGGGGATGCAGCTTAACACATTGATTGTAACACTAGAAAAAGAAATTTTCCTTGGGGCCACGGTGTTTTATTATGGAAATAGAATAAAAACTGAAAAGAAAATGATCCTTTCTAATTTAATGAAAAAATTGTTATTTTTCATCGTTTTCTGTGTGCAAATAATATGCAGTTAAGTTGTCAATGTTAATTGTAACAATAAGAACATCAACAAGTAAGATTTTCTCGAACCAACTGCAGGGTTTTGCCTAGGGGGCCACCCATTACGTAACATGTATGCTACAGCATAGCAGCGTGAGTTGCCTGTGAACCACACAGCTCTCAAGGTAAAGAGACATATGAGAGTTACATATGCTTCATGAGGCCCCGGGCTCAAAACTAGTGTGAGTTAAATACAACTCACACGGCAGTGAATGTGTTAAATTGAAGTTAAAGTTAGAGCTCAATCCCTCTAACTCTCTCTACGGGGATTAGTTTAACAAACTGCAGGGTGTGGGGAGGGTGTCCACAGAGGTGGAGTCAGGAGGGAAAGCCATAGTGTGGGCAGAGGCCAGGGTGCCAGGACAGAGATGGGCACGCAAGGGCACCTCAGGGCACAATGTACACACTGCACATTTCCCCAGGGCTGGCCCTGAACACACAGCAACACACCATCAGAACTGAATAGTTCGAGCCATAGGCTTTTGCCTGGAGCACTCCTGGGCCAGGACAGTGTGGTCAGTGTCTTCCAAGGGCTGTTCTGTTGCATTATAGCTCAGTGCTCAGATCCCTGAGACCAGAGGCCAATTCTAGCACTGCTCCTAATTAGATGTGTGTCACCTTAGGCAGGCTGCTTAACCTTCCAGAGTCTTGGTCTTTATGGGTGGCCTGTTTCACTAGATGGTTGTGTAGCTTAACGTACATGTGATTACATAGAACTTAGCGCCTGGCAGGAGTAAACCTGAATACATGTTAGCTATTACTCAGAAGCTAATTGAGAAATCAGAAATTTGGCACCTGGGCTAGACAGAATCCCCAGGGAAGAGAGAATCTCCCCAGGCAAATTTTTCTGGCAGGGGCATGGAACATGACGAGAAAGATAGGACATCAGTGGGGAAAAAAGGATATAAGGGTAAACTCAGTTCACAAGGCCAGAAGTCAGGAGGAGGCTGACTATTCACGGAGAGTCATCAGGCCAGTGTATAGACCAGATTCATGTCTTCCCTGATCATGCTCCTTCTAGAAAAATCTCCCCTGCCTGTATCAGGTGAAAAGAACATCCTACAAAGTGTTTCACTCTGCCCCCCTTCCCGAGGCCCACACCTACTGGCCGGCCAGCGATTAATCAGATGCTCTTGTACGCTCTGCCCTGAGGAGAAGAAAGCCGGCCACCACCTGTGGGCTTCTGGGCACAGGCAAGGGAAAGCCAGGCTACGTCAGCATTGTAGGTGCCAGAGCCGTGCAAGGCCACAGTTACAGGGTAGTGGAGACCGTGGGTAAACCAGAACCTAGCTAATAGGAAGAGGGGTGACTCGCACAGACATACAGCAAAAGGTAGACCAGGAAGCCCACTATCCAACAAAGAGAGAGATGCCAACAAATCAAGCAGCCGGTCCTCATCAGGCCTAATATTGGTGCTGTGGGAGCGGGAGTGAACAGAATAGATACACTCTGCCTCCTGGTGCTGCCAGCCTTGTGGGGTAAGACAGACAGGAAACCAAATAATTGTTCAATGTAGATGTTACTAGATGCTGCTAAGTGTCCATAGGGCAGGTCCCCGGATGGCCTTGGCTGGCCAGCTCTTCCCCGTTTCTTGCTTATAGTTCTCAGAATGACTGTAGAATGTGCTGGGAATGCAACATCCTGAGATGAGGCGGAGCTGGCTGCAGCAGCCTGGGCTGTTTGAGTCCCTCGTAGAAGAGGATGCCCTACAGCACTTTGCTCAGTGAGTCCTGTTGCCCCAGTGTGTATAACCCAGGCAGGCTGCTTCCCGGGGCCCCTCAGCTGTGGTGCGAGTGGGGCACACACAGATGAGAGTCCAGTCACCCTGGTATGCTTTCCTCATCCCAAATCCTAGGCTTCTATTGTCTCTTGTTGCCTTTCTGTGGTAACAAAGTGGCTTTGCCTTCCCTGTGTGTGTGTTCTGTCTCATTGGACTTGTGTATTCTTTTTCTTTAGGAGAAAAGCTGGAGATTTCCCTGCTTGGGCTCCTTCAGAGCCCATTTCTTTCCCCCTGGGCTAGGGGGTTTTGTTGCTTGTGACAAAATGACCTCCAACACGGAGATGGCGGTCGGAAGATTGTTAGAGGAAGCGTAGAGTGTGAGGACAGGAGCCTCATCCTGCCCAGGTTCCCCCGCACAGTGGACAGGGGAGCCAGGTTAGGGGCCCGGATCACAGAAGGATGGAGAAGGAGGTTGGGGAAGACAGGTGGAACTGGGTGATGAGCAGCCTAAAGCCGGAGGAGAACTGGTCCCTGTTTTTCTAGGTTGTTCTAGGACCTGCCCAGCCCAGGAAGTATGAGGTCATGCTTGGAATATGGGGTGGACCCAGGGCCCTGACCACCCTCTAGGTGGGTAGAAAAGGGAGGCTCAGGAGGTCTGTGGGGTGAGGGAGGGCTTAGCTGTGAGGGCAGCGGGGCAAGGAAGCCAAATGGGGCCCGACAGCCTGCTGTGGGATCCTGCCCTGCCCTGCTCTGCCCTATGGGAGCCCTTTTACTTTTTAGACTTTTTTGTTAAAAACTAAGATATAAACACACACATTAGCTTAGGCCTACACAGGGTCAGGATCATGCAGATGTTACTAGGTGACAGGAATTTTCCAGGCTTGTGTGTGCGCTTCTGCCTGGTCCTCCTGTGGGAGCTTCCATCCCAGTGGGGACCTATTCCCTGGAGGAAGAGCCACTGGGGGAAGGGAGGTGTAGGGACTTGGAAGTGGGACTTCCCCTCATCATAGGACCCAGGCCTTTTCCTCAACCTTGGTGTCTTCACTTGCAAAGAGCGGCTAACACCACCTGCATTGAGGACTGTCACCAGGGTACATTTAGGACTGTCCCCAGGGTGAAGAGAGAAAGCAGACATGATGAGTCTAAGCAAGTCTGTGCTAGCACCTTCCTTCATGCTGCATCAACACCTGCTTCCTTATGCCATTTAGGATCCCGTAGAGTTGCTGGAGGAATTCCCAGCTCTTGACTTGTGCTGCGGGCAGCATCCACATTTCCCCAGCTTGCAAAGCATGTCCTAAGTTCTCCATGCCCTTCACTGTCCTGGCCACTCAGAATATTACCACTCAACATGGAACAGATCTGTCGTCTTATACCTTCTAGAATTTGGGTGACCTCTGCCTTTTGGATAGCATCACAGTGCATGGCTCCTATCTGTGTGACCCTGAGCCCCCTGCCGTACCTGATTCCATGATGCCATAAAGGTGAGGTCCATAAACACTTGGCTAAGTCCTCTGTGGAACTGATCAGTTACATCCCCAGCGAGAGTAGCGAGGTAGCCGGAGGCTGCATAGTAGGCGAGACTCACTCCAACCACAGAGAGCTGCAACATCCGCGAGAAAGGGGCTGCTCAGCCTGGCTCCTGAGGAAGGGCCACCTGACACTACACGTGACTCGGGTTGTAAATTACAGTCATACAAAGCCTAACAACAGGGATACATTCTGAAAAGTTCATTGTTAGGTGATTTTGTCATTGTGCAGACATCACAGAGTATGCTTAGACAAACCTACATGGTATGACCTACCATAACAGGCTATACCATATACCCAGGACATACGGTATGGCCTCCTGTTCCTAGGCTACAAACCTGCACAGCATGTTACCGTACTGAATACTGTAGGATACTGTAGGCGACTGAAACACAATAGTAAGTATTCGTGTATCTAAAATAGCCAAACATAGAAAAGGCATAGGAAAAATACAGTATAAAGATAAAAAATGGTACATCCGTATAGGGCATTTACTACAAATAGAGCTTGCAGGACTGGAAGGTGCTCTGGGTGAGTGAGTGAGTGGTGTGTGAATGTGAAGGCCCAGGACGTTGCCACACGCTGCCGTAGACTTTATAAACACTGTACACTTAGGCTACACTAAATTGTACACTAAATTTTTTTTCTTTCTTCAATAATAAATTAACCTTAGCTTACTGTAACTTTTTTATTTTATAAACTTTACATTTTTTGACTTTCTGACTCTTGTAATAACAAAGCACCAACACATTATATAGCAGTACAATATTTTCTTTTTTTATATCCTTATTCTATAAGCTTTTTTCTATCTTTTAAATTTTTTATTTTTCTTTTACTTTTTAGACTTTTTTTGATAAAAATTAAGACACAAACACACACATTAGCCTAGCCCTACACAGGGTCAGGATCATCAAGATGTCATTATGTGATAGGAATTTTCCAGCTCCATTATAATCTTATGGGACCGTCATTGTTGACTGAAGTGTCATCATGTGGCTCACGACTATAGCTGCGAAAACACTAAGTAGACACTTGATCTCAAATGCTATTTTGGCAATGACACTACAGAGAGAGAAAATTGCAATAATGTTGGAAGTAGCTAGTGCATAATCAATTTCTCATTAAAGTTATTATTTTTTAAGATACAAACACTTTATTGTTATTATTTTTCACAAAATGATAAGGGAGCCTACCTCCAGCCAGTTTCTTGGTTTTCGCCAATAGTTGAGGACACCCTTCTCCATCATGCCGTAGAGTTGAAAACAGAAGTGAACCAGGTTGAGCACCAGGAAGACCAGCTGGTGGAAGGAATACAAACAAGGTCAACAAAACGTGGATAAATTATTTTTAAAGGTCTAAACTTGTGGCTGGCTCCCCTGCCAATTACTTTCTGAGTAAATAGGAAACAAGTCAATTTCTTGCTCTGCAGCTATGATACGAAACTTGCTCTTCGACAGGCACTTGGGGTGGTTTGGTACCTCTCCACGCCTTAAGCACTCACGGAAACCCCACTTCATGCCAGGTGTTAGGACCTGAGAAGGGCTCTGCGTTCACAGAAACCACGGAGTACAGAAATCTACAGCCACCAGGTCTCCTGACCTCCACGCTACCCCTCTAGTCCTTCCTCAGCACCCCTCAAAAGAGTTGGTGTATATTCGGAATACACGCAATATACAATACACACATGGTAGTTGCCTTGACCAAGTAAAGCCTTTAAAAGCTTTATAAAGTCCTTATATTAAAGTTCTCTATGTGGTTCTCTCTCCATTGATGAGTCACCCATCCACTCGCGGCTTCACGCACTCATGCACTAACCCGAACTCAAATTTATTCATGAATTTATGAGGAACTGAAAGACATCGGCAGGGCCTTTAGCCACTCTCAGTCTTCTTTTGGAGTCATGTGCCCGAGGGCCCACTGGAAGTGCTCCAACTGTGATCAGAGCAAAGTTCACCTTCGGTGGTTACTGGGATGCTGTACGGGAGCCTGGGGCAAAAGGAACCCTGCCGTTGTCCAAAATTGTGACATTTTGTCCATTACGATTTTTTGTATGAATTATGATTTTTAAACATATTGTACTAGAATACTGTTAACCTTGATGACCAAGCTTTTTTGGTGCTCGAGGGGAGAGCCTCCCCTGCCCCTCCCTGGCCAGCCCTGCTGGGGCCGTTCTCCTGCCCTCAATTCCGCCCACGGGCAAGTGTGGCGCTGGGCTCGATTCACAGTCTCAGCCTTTACTGTGGCACTGACCCTCCCCAGAGTCCTAACCCTCTTGGGATTCTCCTCTCTTCACTGCTCAGCCGAAGCAAGCTTGCCCTGAAGTGCTGGCAGGACTTAGCTCTTCCTAGCAGAAAGTTCACTATAGGGCAAAAAATGGGCAAAGTTTTCAAGGAAAAGCTCAGAGTGACTTCTGGTGTTTTCGATTGTTCAGTGAAGCTACATGAACATATTCCATCTCACCAAGACCCCTGATGCTATGGATTCAAGGTTTGTGTCCCCCAAATCCACGGGTTGAAGCCCTAACCTCCAGTGTGGATGGATTTGGAGATGGGGCCTCGAAGGAAGCAATCAAGGTTAGGTGAGGCCTTAAGAGTGGGGCCCTGACCCTGTAGGATTGGTGTCCTTACACAAAGAGCCAGAGGACGCTCGCACACTCCCCCCGCCCCACAGTGTGTACCCACAAAGAAGAGGTCGAGGGAGCACACGGTGAGAAAGCAGCTGTCACCAGCCAGGAGGAAGCCCTCACCAGAGCCTGACCACGCCGGGACCTTGATCATGGACTTCCAGCCTCCAGAATCTTGGGAAATAGATGTCTCTTGTCTAAGCCGCCCAGCCTGTGGTTTTCTGTTACTCAGCCTGAGCTATGACCCATGGGAGATCTAGATGTCAGGCCTCGTCCTCCTGTGATGAATTTAGTACATGAAGACAGCTCTGTATTTGCATTTGCCACGTATATGACAATTGGTCTCCCCATTGGAGGTCTTCTTTGTCTCGTGCCCCCAAACCTAGCATGACACCTGTAGCATGATGGGGACATGACAAGAGTGTGGATGGAGGGTGGCGAGTGGGCAGCGTGCTGGTCCCACATGATGGAGGGGCCCAGCTCAGTGAAGCCCCGTCTCGCTGTGATCCTCCGGGGGGGCCAAGCGGCAGATGCGCTCACCTCGGGAAGCATGAGGTGGTATCGCAGGGCTGAGTCACGGCAGAAGATGCTGAACGACTCCACCAGGGATGAGGGGACAAGACCCCCCATGGGGAGGATCTCCACGCTCAAGGACACGCTGGTGAAGAGCTGGGTTGGAGGGTTATAGAGGGTGAAGTGCACGGACACGGCGCTGGTGCTGCGGTCGATCCACCTGCTGGCCCTGAGTCCTGCCAGGGCCGCGTGGGCTTCGGGCCTACAAAGCCGCACAGTGGGGGAGGGCAGGGAGGAAGGCTTAGAAGTCCGAGGAGGCACCCGCTGCAGGCCCCATGCTGGGAGCCCGTTATGCAAGGACAGACAGCGCCTGGGCTTCCAGGGGCCACAGGGATGGCCATCTCTATCTCAGGGACTCCTCGGTAGACGCTGCCTTCTCTCCTGACCCACCCTCTTCCCTGGCCAGAGGACCGACAGGCAGGAGGGACCTGGAGCACAAGGGCTTCTGTTGCCCACCCACATGGTGTGAAGCAGTGATGTCCAACATCTCTTCCCAGGGACTCTAGAATATTCATACTTCTTTTTGTGGAATAGACCCCATTGTTTAAAAGAAACTCTTTTTTACTAATCTGTACTAAGTAACAATTATATCATTTCCTCCTTTTTTTCCCCCCGATATTCCTCAAAAGCACATATGACTGTACCTGCCCAGAGCTCCCTGTTGGTCTAAGACCATCAGTGCTACCCCAGGCATGAGCACAGTCTCAGTGCCGTGCAAGGGCTTGTGCCACCCAAGGAGCCGGGGCTGGGTGTGGGTGATAGTGTACCTGGCTGGTGAGGCTGCTGCCTGACCCAGGGCCTGGCAGCAGCGTGGGGTCAGGCTTGTTATGCGTGTGACACTCCGCTCCTCACCTGCACCGTGTGTGCCAAGTGGCACCAGACCTCCCCCACGGGGCTAGGTGAGCAGTGGAGGAGGCCACGTAAACACCCTGCCTGGCAGGGAGTCAGCACAAGACAAGTGTCCATCATGTCCCATGACCTCCAGATGTTCTAGCAACAACTTTTTAAAAATTACACATCATAGTATTTAATCTAGCAACCACTTTTTGAAAGAATGTTCCTCTCTGTTCTCTCCTACACACTTAAGAGCATGAAGGCCTGAGTTTGCGTTCTGTCACCCCCTAACATGTGCTTCCGTCATTCACAACAATGACAAGCCCTGCTCGAGACCCTGGCAGTGACGTGCCCACCTCCCAGGCCTGTCAGGAGGCTGCACCTGCTGCAGACATGCCACGTCCAGCCAGCGCCCCAGCTGGAGGGGGACCAGCAAGCTGGGATGGACACTGGCCCCCTGAGTCACTGACCTGGTTCTGCCCAGCCTGAGCACACAATCCTCCCTTGCCCCGCAGCCCCTGGGCCCACCCGGGGTCACGTTTTGTTTCTCTGGGTCTATCAGGTGGGGGTTCCCAGGGCCTCCAACTTCAGGGCTACATGCAGGAAGAGAGTCTTCGATGAGGACCGAAAACGCCCTGTGAGGCTGTGGAAGAGAACACCAGTCAGAAGACGACAGATCGCATTCCCAAGGCCACCCTGCCTTCTGGGGTCTCCACGCCAGGCTGCACGCAGGCACACGCCCTATCCTGCAATGCGGCACCCTGCTCCCCTCAAAGGAACATTCTGCAGCCTGTTTCATGGCCCTGGGCTCTAGCTCAAGCTAGAAGGATCAAGGTTCTACCCATCCAAGGCCAGCACCTGAGGCGCCTATTGGTCTACGGCTTGGACCATTTAAAGATTTCCCCATTATGGGATGGCACAGGCAAAGTGCCCATCTTAGGGCACCCCCTTCCTGTTAGAAAAGGATATGTGAATATTCCATTTTTAGGGTAAAGATCCTGGTTTTGCCAAGACCACAGATGTCTAAAGCCAAACGATGACCCAAGTAAACCTGCGGCACAATGCCTAGGAAGGAATAGGCTTTGGAAAGGGCTGGCGAGGGGGAAGGGAGGTGCAAGGCTCGCTCTCTCCCCAGCCCTGGGCCCTGGCAATCCCAGTCGCCAGCCGGACTCTCAGAGAGTTACCATGGTCTGCAGACGTCCTGCCCACTGTCGCCTAGACTTTTCTAATTCCATTTATTTATATTTATTTATTTATTTTTGAGACAGAGTCTTGCTCTGTTGCCCGGGCTAGAGTGCGTAGTGTCAGCCTAGCTCGCAGCAACCTCAGACTCCTGGGCTCAAGCGATCCTTTTGCCTCAGCCTCCCAAGTAGCTGGGACTACAGGCACACATCACCATGCCTGGCTAATTTTTATATATATATATATATATATATATATATATATTTTTTAGTTGTCCAGATCATTTCTTTCTATTTTTTAGTAGAGACAGGGTCTTGCTCTTGCTCAGGCTGGTCTCGAACTCCTAACCTTGAGTGATCCAGCCGCCTCGACCTCCCAGAGTGCTAGGAGTACAGGAGTGAGCCACCCTGCCCGGCCTAATTCCATTTAGTTTTAGAAGCAAAAAGAAAAAGAACATCTTACCTTGCATAAACTGCTGGGAGACACTTTTAGCTGCTTAATTACTGAGCTGCCTATTAGGTAGCATTTTCCTCCAAGAGCTCCAGGCTAAAAGAAGAGAACAGAGGAAGAGGACTGGGCAAAGGGTAGACTTCAGACATCATCTCGAGCAGGGCTAGAGAGGCATGGCTCTGCTCTGGAGAACTCCACCTGCCTCCTAACAACATTCTGAGGATGTGCTGAGCTCTAAGACAGCCAGCAGCGTCCACCCAGTCCTGTCCTGGAAGAGGGCTGGCATTCAGACGATGCTTTCAGAATCTGCATCGCACAAGAATGATCTCTTTCTATCTTTTTCTAAAGTTTTTCCAGTGCCATCAACTCAGGAGGCTACACAGAATACAACAAAATAAATGAGAAATAAAATGTTTAAGGAATTCAGGATGACGGTATTTCATTTTACAAGATGGGGAGGAGGTGAAAATAAAAGATGATCAAGAAACGGCATTATGCGAAATGCATATTCACTTTTTCTTCAGAACCTGGGGCTGGCCTCGCCCTCCCTGGAAGCCCCCTGAGGCTCCCATCTTGTTGTTTGTGCTTCCCCTATTCCAGGCTCTGTGCATTCCTTTGTCATGGCATTTCACGCACTGAGCTAGAATCTTCCGTTTTCTCAGCTGCTCCCCATCAGCCCAGGCTCCTGCGGCTCTGCCATAGCCTCGTGCCTCGCTGGGGCCTGGAGAGCGAAGGAAGCTGGGAAGCCGTGTGGCTGCGGAGGGAGAAAGGGCTCTGGCAGGGACAGGGGCAGGCCACGGGCACCCACGGTGGAGACCCACCAGCCTTACAGCCTCTGTGGACACCCAGGAACCCACGTAGTGTTGGAGTCCACGCATCAGTGCCTGCGTCATCCACTGTGACGTGGCTTTTCCGAGGTGTCTCCTGTGAAGAGGGAGTGGGAAGCCCACCTGAGCCCCCGGCCTGCTGGCCACCGAGGCGCCTCCCGGGTACAGGCCGTCCAGCAGCGTGGTCAGACTCCAGTCCCACCAGTCGGCCATGCTTCTCAAGCCTCCCAAGGAGTTTCTGTCATTTCTGAACGCAAGAATGGAAACAAAGAGTTGTTTCTGCCTCAACGAGAACAGTCAAAAGAACAAATGCCTTTTTCCTGCCAATTTTCCTCTCATCCAAATTGCAGGTACTCCGCGGGAATTAAACCGAAGCCATCTGCAGCGTGAGACACAAAGCCTGGAACTCTGCTCCTCAGTAGCAGGAGAGAAGAGAGAATGGTGGGTAAAGCACTGGTTCATTCACTTACTCATTCACTCAGCGTTACGCGCAACTACTAGGCGCCAGGCACTCTTCTGGGCACGGGGAAACAGAAAATCAAGTCCTGGCCCTCACGTGGGGAAACAGACAACAAATAGATAAGCAGACATATACTACGTTAGTGATAAACATTATGGAGAAAGAATGAAGCAGGAAAGACAGGAAGTGGTGGGAAGGGCAGTGGGGATTTTAGTTCAAGCAGCCGTGGACGACGTCAGCAGGAGGAGAGTGTCAGCCAAGATCTGCAGGCGATGAGGGAGGAGCTGCATAGTCACCCACTCAGGGGGTTCCAGGCAGACGGGTGCAAGGGCTTCCACAGCCCAGAAGGGTAGGAGGGTGCGGAGGCCACATGGCTGGTGCGGAGGGAGCACGGCGGCCAGGGGTGGACTAAGGAGGTGCGGGGACACCCTGGCCAGCTCCAGTCCTCGTCTACACAGACTGCTGCCTCCCACGATGCCTCCAGGTGGCAGCGTGAAGGCATGGATGACGTGCTGTACTGGCACACATGCTAGTCCGTTTTTCTTCCGAGTAACCTCTTTCTTGTGTTTATTAGATATGCTTCACTTTTCCACCAAGGAACTGATTTAAGGCAGCATTGAAATAATGTCAAATGAACAAAATTTATCAGTTTTAGCTTGCTCAGAGGATGCTACTGGGCCACACACAGGCCAGAGCCACACGTGGTGGCACCAGGCACATACATTTGGCTCTGGGCTGCAGCCGAAGGGAAGAGGAAAAAATTGAATGTTCCTCAGTAACTCTCAACTAACTCTGAAAACTTTCTCACACATGGCTTCCCATGAAGGACACTGGATACAGGCAGGATACTGTGCTCATCAACACGCCCACAGCCGGCAGACACGGATCTCTCTTCATGAAGGGGGAGACCAAAATACGTCTCAGGGAAAGTAATTTTGTTGGAAAGTGTCAAGAAGTTAGAAAAGGATATCAACTCAAATCACCCAAGTACCTACAAATTTAATTGTCCTGCCAGTTTCAGCAACGAAATCCAGACTCCTCCAAAGAATAAACTGACTCTGAGCTCTTCAACTGATGGCCGTGGCTTTGATAAACAAGACTGGAGAGCAAAGCTGGGCTGCAGACAGTGGCCTGGAGCCGGCTCTCACCGTGACAGCCGACTGTGCGCCTCTTCTCAACTCCAGTTCAGCGATGTCACTTTCCTAGTATGAAACAGCCCTGGTGGGAGCATTTACACCACAGAAATTGGCAGGCAGGCGCTATAAATCGGAGCTTTTGTTCTTCAGAGAGCCAGTTGTTAACTGTTAACCAGCACACTACAGAGACTGCTCTCAGGCAAGGGTGTGGAGTGATATTCCACTGTTGATTAAGGGCAGATTTTGGAGATAGATTAGAAAAAGTTTTTTAAAACCTGACAGTTGTGGCAAAAAATTAAACAATATAAAAGAAAATCAAGGACCAAAAAAATCAATAATACATAAAAAGAGAGATGCAAGTAGCCTCAACCAACAATTTATACAGACTATAAATGTGTTGAAAAATTTCCACAGCTTGTGAAAATAAAAGTCCAGTGAACTAATTTGTCTGACTGGTTTTATTTCCTTTTTCTTACACAGAAATGATCTCCCATCCGTTCAAGTATTTGATCTTCATTGGTTTATATGCTTTTAGAACTTAATCTACGCAGGCTGGTTCTCAACTCTGTGCTTCTCTGAAAACTTGGCCAAACTACACGCCAAATGCAGAGCAAGTTGGAGACCTGCCAAAGCAGCCGGAGGGCGGAATGAAGACACAGAGAGGCACCAGGAAAGGAGAATACATCAGGAGGCAGAGATGGGAGGCAGAAAGTAAGCGGACAGCCTCGTAGATATTCACAACCACTCGCAGGAAGGAACTGCGTGAGCAGAGAGGCAATGGAAGTGAGGGAGGATGGGCACAGACACAAAGGACAGCGGTCGATTTTCAACAGAGAAAAGTGTTACCCGTCTGCTCTGGAAGGCAGACAAACTGATTGTACATGTATAGACCAATATGCTCCATATTCTGTGTTCTTAAAAAATAAAGTGATACTTTATAGCCATGTTGAGTTTGTACAACTTTTGGGAAATGTTATCACTTCCTGATAATGCTCCGCTATTGGATAACATTAAAGAAACTAAGTCAGGAAAGCCCTGCATGGGGCTCAGAGCCGGAACGTCCCACGCCCAGGCTGCATGCATCTCATGCCTCGTTCCTGGCACTCTTGGAGTGCAGGTACTTAACTAAACGATCCAAGAAGATTCTGGCCCTGTCTGTATCAATTACAGCAATTATGTAGACTAGGCCTACAAAGCTTGCTAAACAATGCGAAAGGTAAAATCAGCCGTTATTTTCCATTTATGGCACTTGGACAGAGTACCTGTTTCCTTTATTGGTGCTTCATTTGGTGGTTATTTTTATTTTGTTCTGTTCTATTCAGAATTTCATGAAGACTTTATTGAGTTCAGAAACACTTCAATTACAACTTAAATAGAAGAGAATCCAATGACAGAATCCAATCCTTATGTCTTTTGTTAAGACATAAGAAATCCAGCAGTCCATGTCCCTCACTTTACAGACGAAGACACACAGGCCCAGAGTCCAAGTACTTGCCATAGTCACCTGGTGACCAAATGAGAGCTAGAAGCCCAATCTCTGGGTTCTCTTTAATCCATTTCCCCTCTTGGCTTCAGTTTCTCTATCTGGAATGCCAGCCAAAGCCAAACCCTCAGGAGTTGTTGACATTTCAGGATTAGGTACCAGGTGGGTGGGGTGAGGAGGGAGGTGGAGAAGGTCTACTTTAAACATTCCATTACCAACCAGGACACATAAATATCCCTGCCTGGTGGCTAGAGCATGCAGAGGCAGCGAGGTTTTGCATCCTTATGGGAAACATAAGGTCTGTGCAAAGCCACAGAGAGGCAACATCTGAGTCCTTAATCCAAGCACTTCAGTCTCATGTGCACGTGAGATATCCCACAAATATTATCTCAGCTGCGATATTTCTGATTTGAATATCAAGAGGCAACAATTCATATGAGAAATATGTCAGATAATGCTCACTTATGAAATGTGAGATAAAAATAAATAGCAAAAGCCAGAAGTTACTTGTGTTGATTTTCATTTCCAGAGGACCCAGATTGTTGCTTTGTTTTGCGCACAGCGCCACCTACTGGCAGAAACTGTGCACCTGCACAGATGGGAGAGTGGAAAAGTTGGTCACTGATGGAAATAACTGCTGGTTTTGCAAACAGGGAGACAGAAAATTCTACTTAATCTCACCATTAGAATGCTCAGCAGTAAGAATTGGATTACTGCGCTCCAGGGAGTGCAGACTCATTGCACTGGACTTCCGGGTCTTACCTTATTAGTGAGTCATAAAAGTGACAAAGGGGACATTTGCTAGCTGTTATCTGGCTGGGTACCAATAACCCTCGCAGAAGATACAAATATGTTCTGAAATAATATGTAAAATTAAATGGACTTTACAGCCATTCACCCCTGACCCCCCCCCCAAAATTAAACAAAAAATACTTACATCAAATTGAATTACTTAGTCAAAGGAACATATTCATAGAAATGCTATAGGAATGTGTCTTTATTCTCCAAAGGAAAAAAAAGCAAACCCTGGAACACACATTACTATTTTATTTTCTGTCACTGAAATCATTGTGAAGAACCAATACTATTTCATATCACATACTTTAGAATTCAAAGCCAAACTGCCTTGAAAGAACTATCAGACGGACAGTTTGGGGCAGGTGAAAATAACATCTGACCACGGATTTAACAATTCTCCTCGGACTTGGGGGGGGGGGCAAGGGCAACATACGTAACCTAAACATCTGTACCCCCATAATATGCTGAAATAAAAAAATAAAAAAATAAAAAAAAACAACTCTTAATAGAAAATTAAATGTACCCATTGATGACAATATGCATTCTAATTTCAGAAAGCTTCAGACATGGAAAAGAAATATGACACAACAAAACGCCATCATGGTTGCCTGTGTCCGGTGGTATCATGGAAATTTTTCTGCTTTATATTTCTCAGTTCTTTCATATTTGCCTATGATGAATGTCTACTACTTTTAGAAGTAAGAAGAAGCACATGAACACTTGTGAAATCGCAGAGAAACTGAGGGAGTATTACAAACTGTTTGAAATCATTGTCATTTTTTATTAATTGCAACCATAGCCTTTGATGAAAGAACTCAGGTGTCTTCAGCAAAAAAGAAACTGCAAGACCTTGTTTTGGAGCAGAACTCAAAGTGCCTTGAAATATCCTTGTTTCGCTATTTAACTAAAATGACATACTAGGAACGTGCCCAAAGTCTGTGAATGGAGGCCTCTTACCAACACTGGGAAATAGTGTCCACAAGCCAGTTTGACAACATTTCCCACCTTTCATATGTGGGGCGTGTCAAAGACCCCTCTTTGGGCCTCAATCATGCAGCGGTAGAGGGACTGAGGGAGTGGATTAGAGGGTCTATAGGGTCCCTCATCTGACACTCTGTCTGATGCTAGAAGACAAAGACGTGACTTGGCTTGCTTCAAGTAATGAAGTAAAGTAAACCCTCTCATAACCCCGAGCTCGAGGCTTCCCCACGGGTGCACACTGGCCATGGGCTAGTGCAAGAACCAGAGGAGCTCCCCAAGCCTCCTACCTTGTAAATTCCTTCCGGATAGCTTGATTGAGAGAATATTCATCTCGGGAGAATCTCCCATATATTATACACAAAAGCAAAAGCAGCATGAGGATGTGCATGGAAATGTCTCTGTAAGAAGATATTTAAAGTTAGCATCCTTACAGACCCAGGTGTTTCATTTGGCAAAACATTTTTGATGGAACTGAGCTTTCTTAAATCCCTGGGAGGAAATTTTCATATAAGGTTTGAAGTATATATTGAGGTCCATTTTTCTTTTTTTTGCACATGAACATCCAGTTTCCCCAGCACCATTTTAAAAAAAGACTATCCCTTCTCCATTGGACTGTCTTTGAGCCATTGCCAAAAAAATGAGCTGAGTTTATCTGTGTGGGTCTATTCCTGGGCTCTCCATGCCATTCCATTGATTTGTGTGTCTAGGCTGTCCCTAAACCCGACCCTGTCTTGGTTTCTGCAGCTTTATGGTACATCTTAGATAGCATCAGTCCTTTTTCAGAATGTTTTTGGCTATTCCAGTTCCTTTGCTTTCCATATAAATTTTAGAGTCAGTTTGTCAATGTCTATGAAAAAAAGCTTGCAGGATTTTGTTTGGGATTGCACTGAATCTACAGATCAAATTGGAAAGAATTGACACCTTAACAATATTTAGTCCTCCAATCAATGTACAAGTGTTATCTCTCCATTTATTAGATTTTCTTTTGATTTCTTTCATCAGTGTTTTGTGGTTCTCAGCATATAGATTCTGCACAAGTTTTGTTAGATTTATGTCTATGTACTTCATTTCTTTGGTGCTATTGTAAATGGTATTCCTTTCTAAATTTTTAAATTTTTAAATTTCAATTGTTCATTGCTGGTATATAGGAATACAATTTACTTTTTTATATTGACTTGTATTCTACAAACTTGCTAAGTTCACTTATTAGTTCTAGAAGCCTTTTTTTTTTTTTTTGGTAAATTATTTGGGTTTTTCTGCATAGACTATGTCACTACCAATAGATGGTTTTATTTCCTCTTCAAATCCATGTTTTTTATTTCTTTTTCTTGCCTATTGCCCTAGGTGGGACTTTCAATATGATGTTCAATAGGAGTGGCCTGAGAGGACATCCTTGCCATGTTCCTTAACTTAAAAAAACATTCAACGTCTTGCCATTAAGTATGATGTTAAGTGAAGCGTTTTCAGTAGATACCCTTTAGTACTTTAGGGAAGCTCTCTTGTATTCCTAGTTTGCTGAGAGGTTTTTTTTTTGTTCTGTTTTGTTTTGGATGAATGAATGTTGAATTTTATCAAATGCTTTTTCTGCATCTATTGAGATGATCATGGTTTTGTTTTAGTCTGTTAACATGGCTCTTCCAATCTATAGGTATCTCCTCTAGCTCATTTTGGTTTCTTTGCAACATATTTGTTGAACAAGTCGGTTCTTTGGGCTATAAAGTTCTCAGAGTCTTACTTGAGACTGGTATTTAATATGTTCTCATTGTAAACTGCTGGTTGGCAAAAAATGCTTCATCAGATTAAGATTGGACCATTTGGGGTAGGTTGCCTCATGCATGATTGTGTTTTTCCATTAGGAGACACATGATGTCTAATTGTTTCTCTCTCTCCTTCTCTTTTTTAACAGTTGGCCAATGTTAATGAGCAATGGCCTAGATTCATTACTTCATTAGAAACTGCAAAAATGGTCAGGCTCTAACTGTATTGTTTGCCCCTCATTCATTAGCTGGAATTTCTCTGCAAAGAGAAATATCCCCTCTCCTGTTAAATGTGGTTTCCCAGGGGTACATTTTGTATGGGGAAGGCAAGCTTTTACCAGCTTTTAAAAAGTTGGTTCCCGAGCGTCCACCAACACTGATCAATTACATTGTGGGTGTTGTCACAAGCTCATGGCTTTAGATATATTTCATAAGTTCAATTCATTCCAGTTTCTATTCTTGATTTGATGTCAAGTTACCCCATTTTTGAGCAATGTGAGCCTCTTCGAACTGGCTTCTGAGTCCTTTGTTGATGACTCTAGCAGTCATTAATTGCTCCCTTGCTTAAGAAATGTTCCAGGTTCATCTTGCACATTTTCTATCACAGACCTCAAATCAGGAATCCCAACGATTCCTGGTTCCTTTTGGTGGAAAACAGGATTTATGACCAGAATCTAGGAGCTAAGGGTATGCATTGCTTCTGG